AATGTGAAACGGGGAAGCCAGAAGTATTTTATATCTCTGGGAGAGCAGCAGCAGTGTTGGGAGTTGTTGTTCAACTGGCTCCCCAGCATGGAGGTTGTTGCCAGTGACCAAGAGGGAAAGGGAAAAGGAGGAGAATGTGCTGCAGGTACAGCAGTGGAGCCAATTTGATGCAGCTGATGCTCCATTCACACTGTGTCAACTTCCTTGACACCTCTCTTCTTCTCTCTCTCCTCTTCTCTCTTCTTCTTCTCTCCCTTCTTCCTATCTGTTGCTGGCAGCAACCCCTGTTTTGGGAAGTCAGCTGAGCAACGCTGCTCCACTCCACTGGCTGCTACTGCTCTGGGATCAATTCATTAACATACAGATTGGAAAGATTTTTGGTCTAGCACATGGGTAGGCAAACCAAGGCCCGGGGGCCGAATCTGGCCCAATCGCCTTCTAAATCCAGCCCGCGGACGGTCCAGGAATCAGCATGTTTTTACATGAGTCGAATGTGTCCTTATATTTAAAATGCATCTCTGGGTTATTTGTGGGGCATAGGAATTCATTCATTTTAATTTTTTTCCAAAATCTAGTCCAGCCCCCCACAAGGTCTGAGGGACAGTGGACCGGCCCCCTGCTGAAAAAGTTTGCTGACCCCGATCTAGTATTTATATATGGCATCTTGATCAGTGTAAATAATTGTCTGCCAACCTGCACGCTCCACAGTTCTAACCACAGATTATGGCGGCTGACCCTATAAAAAGCAGCAGTACTTTCGAGAAAAGCTGTTGCCTCAGGCCTTTGCTCAAAATGTAGTTTGGTATGAAAAATTCAAAGTGAGAATTGCATGTGCATGAATCCTGCCTTCTACTTATGCCAAACTTACAGCCAGACTCCAAAATGGGATCTTCCACCAAAATATGGCTTTGCCTGGAACACCATAAAATGCATCATAAACATAATGGGAATGCAAGCAAGCTTCAAAACTTCTTCGTAATTTCTTCACCTACTATGGCTATTAGAACTTGAAGTCTAACATCCAAGCAAAATTGATGTAAGTACAAATGTGAAAACTGATGCCAATTTAGTCTATGAGCTGGCAGGGTTCTGAGTGAAGGTGAACGTTTTGCAGTGAAGCGTGAAAATAACCTGAGAAACCACTTAGCGGCAAATGTTCATAATAATAATTTTTAAAATGCTGTTTTGGCTCTTTTTCTCCCTTCCCCCATCCTATCTTCCACAACTCGGCCACTGTGGAATACTGAAATGCATCTGTGATGTTTGTTAACTTTTCATGATGGTAGGGAAACATTACTGGCTTTGGGACAGATACAGTGAAGATAGGTCAGTACTGATCAGGACTCTTGGCCAAGAGGGCTTACAGATCCTACATAAAGCCTTAAATCAAGTATCTTTATCATTTTTAGGCTGCTTCTACTTTCCAGCAGATTGAGGCTGAAAGAGAAAATAAGCACTCCTTGCCTCCCTCAAAATGTGTGCTAAACATTAGTCAGTTAGTAGATGTTATTGTTTATGCCCAATAATGACCACAATACAGTATGAGCACACATCACACAACTACAAAATGAAAGACACTACATGCACCAAACCAGGACAAATCTATAATGTCCAGAATTTATAAACACGCCTTCCAGTCAGCATCCCTAGGGTTTGGCACTTGCACTATCCAGAAACGTTGCCGTTATCTTTCTTGTCACTAGTGCAAACAGCACCTCCCTATAGCTGATGCACTTATTGACATCTGCCAACAGCCATTTAATTTTCAAATCATCTGATTCACCTTCTAAGGAGATCTGAAAAGAGGAGGTAAATTTAACTCTGGGTGAGTCATACAATGGACAATCAATATCATTAGTATCAGAAGCCGGATTGGAAGGTGGTGATTGAAAGCAACTAATATGGCTTTCCCCACATTATCTGACTTCTATGTCCATGGACTTTGTACCTGGAGTGGATTCGTACCTTGTCGATTTTTGACCCTGGCAGTTCTTGGTATGGGATGTAGCCGCAGGAAGGAAGCTTCCATGGAAACCTAATTGTATATCAGTCTCATACTTGTTATATCAACTGAGAATGTTTCCCTTTAAGACTGGTCCATTCTAGGGGCTTTGTTATACCAGGATAGAGCAGAAAGGAGAGAAAGAATGAAGATTCACTCCACATTGCTAATAATAATAATAATAATAATAATAATTTATTATTTGTACCCCGCCCATCTGGCTGGGTTTCCCCAGCCACTCTGGGCGGCTTCCAACAAAGATAAAAATACACTAAAATGTCACATATTAAAAACTTCCCTGAACAGGGCTGCCTTCAGATGTCTTCTGAATGTCAGGTAGTTGTTTATCGCTTTGACATCTGACGGGAGGGCGTTCCACAGGGCGGGCGCCACTACCGAGAAGGCCCTCTGCCTGGTTCCCTGTAACTTGGCCTCTCGCAGTGAGGGAACCACCAGAAGGCCCTCGGAGCTGGACCTCAGTGTCCAGGCAGAACGATGGGGGTGGAGACGCTCCTTCAGATAAACTGGACCGAGGCCGTTTAGGGCTTTAAAGGTCAGCACCAACACTTTGAATTGTGCTCGGAAACGTACTGGGAGCCAATGTAGGTCTTTCAAGACTGGTGTTATGTAGTCTTGACAGCTGCTCCCAGTCACCAGTCTAGCTGCCGCATTCTGGATTAGTTGTAGTTTCCGGGTCACCTTCAAAGGTAGCCCCACGTAGAGCGCATTGCAGTAGTCCAAGCGGGAGATAACCAGAGCATGCACCACTCTGGCGAGACAGTCTGCAGGCAGATAGGGTCTCAGCCTACGTACCAGATGGAGCTGGTAAACAGCTGCCCTGGATACAGATTTGACCTGCGCCTCCATGGACAGCTGTGAGTCCAAAATGACTCCCAGGCTGTGCACCTGGTCCTTCAGGGGCACAGTTACCCCATTCAGGACCAGGGAATCCTCCACACCTGCCCGCCTCCTGTCCCCCAAAACAGTACTTCTGTCTTGTCAGGATTCAACCTCAATCTGTTAGCCGCCATCCATCCTCCAACCGCCTCCAGACACTCACACAGGACCTTCACCGCCTTCACTGGTTCTGATTTAAAAGAGAGGTAGAGCTGGGTATCATCCGTATACTGATGAACACCCAGCCCAAACCGCCTGATGATCTCTCCTAGCGGCTGCATGTAAATGTTGAAAAGCATGGGGGAGAGGACAGAATCCTGAGGCACCCCACAAGTGAGAGCCCAGGGGTCTGAACACTCATCCCCCACCACCACTTTCTGAACACGGCCCAGGAGGAAGGAGTGGAACCACTGTATGACAGTGCCCCCAGCTCCCAGCCCCTCAAGACGGTCCAGAAGGATGTTATGGTCGATGGTATCAAACACCGCTGAGAGATCCAGCAGAACTAGGAAACAGCTCTCACCTTTGTCCCTAGCCCGCCGGAGATCATCAACCAGTGTGACCAAGGCAGTTTCAGTCCCATGATGAGGCCTGAATCCCGACTGGAAGGGATCCAAATGGTCCGCTTCTTCCAGGCCTTATAATGGCCTTATAATTTGCATACTTCAGTACCACACTTAAGAAGGCTATTAAAAATTGGTGTAGGAACACAGTTCTGCCCACCAGCCCACCAAACATACTTATTTTGAGATTTTTCTGGTCACTGTATTAACATATGCAAAGTTGCAACACTAGAAAGCCAATTGATGCAGCCATGACCTACAAATACCAAAATGCTACAGTTTTGGCTCACAACCTTTGACAAATAGAAATGGTCTTAATTGAGGTGCAAATGAATTCCAGGTGCAAGAATGTCCTTGGCGATGCTATGGCCTTGGCAGAATGGAACAGCATGCACAAAAGCTCACAATGTCCTTGGAATGCCACTCTTAATGTTTGCACCTTGACACGGAGAATAAAAAAGGGCGCCAAGGAAGCATGCGGTGTCCCGAGATGAACACAGAGTAAGTTGAAACGTGGGGGTTCAGCTTGTCGGCAAAGCGTGTTCTCCCTAAAATGAGAGCATGTGTTGCGGTGGGGTCTGCCAGGGCAACCCTCTGTTGCCAGGCAGGTTAATGGTGATTGCCTGAAGCAACGATTGGATGACCAGGTTGCTGGGGCAAATTGCATGTTACAAATTGGGTGAGTGGGACCAAAGGCTTTAAATATCGGGGCACTCTGCTTTTGCTTTCTCTTTTGCTGAGTGCATCAGATCACCCGCCCGCCCACCCTGAGTTCCGGTTGACCTTGCTATGCCTGTCATGGGGTCGTCTGCCATTGGGGCAGGGGCCTAGTAGGAATTTTGTCCGTTTGGCGGATTGGCTGGTGCCATTTGGTTTTTGCCTACTACTTAGCAATTCGTCACAACTTGTAAGGTTGCGGTTAGGCATTGGTTATAAAAATTGGTGGAGGAGGGGTCAGGATAGGCTGGGCCTGCCCCTCCAATGGTGGTGTGGAAGGGAATTCCATTAAAGGAATCCTGAAATGGGACCAGGGCCGGCAAGCCTTGGGGAGCTGCTTGGGTGAGCGGTGAGGGACTGTCACTCAGCTCAACTGATCCCCAACATTGTTTTCCCTTCACTGGCTTCCGAGGTAGTTTGGAAAGTCAGTTCTGTCCCAGGCGGGGGGACAGATAGTCATAACCAATGCCTAAGCAACCACTCACAGATTATGTATTTTAATAAAGTTGTGGCCAAAATTATGCCAAAACCTTAAACAAAATTTACGTGTGATTTGTGAATTATTTTTGAGGGGTGGCTTGGGGACCTCCACATGCAATAAGGTTAGACCAGACCAGACTGCAGCAGCACTTATTGTGCAAACACTGCTACAGGTAAGTGTTGCTTGACAGCACTCAGTGAGGGAGTGAAAAATGTTATCTCCTCAAGCATTATGAAGGACCCAGCTAATATGGAGCAAGGTGAAAAATTTGCTCTCACTGGCTTTTATAATTTTATGACAGTTCCCTCATACACTTGAATGACCAAGAAACGGAAGCCAGGCTGGATAGCTCAGTCGGTAGAGTGTGAGACTCTTAATCACGGGCTTGTGCATTCAAGCCCCACGTTTGTGCATTGCAGAGGGTTGGACTAGATGACCCTTGTGGGCCCTTCCAACTCCGCAATTCTATGAAACTATGAATACAGAAGGTATGTCTGTTAGAGGCTGGATTTGCTAGATGTTTTAGCTTGTCCAAGCAGTTGGCGATGCTGTAGTGATTAGCACAAAATATACACCTCACTACCCTAACACTGGGTAGCCTGGGCCTTACTGATAGCAGTACAACACTTGCAATATGTAAACCTCTTTGTGATGGACAGATCAGTCTATTTCTGGTCCAAGTCAAATTCACATGTGGTTTTTCATCAAGACCATTCTGTCCGACTGCAGCATTAATTTGCATGTTGTTGTTTTTTTAAGTACAGAAATCTGTATTTAAATACGAACTTTTATGTATATTAAAATAATATTTTATTTCAACGTACGTATTTCTAAACATATTTTATCCTAAAATATCCAGTTTTAATGCATTCTGGTATGCCTAAATTGCAAAGTCCAGAGAACTGTAAAATTCATAAGGTAATTACATTCTTATCTGTGTATTAGTCCAAGAGGTCAGTTTGCTAAAAATGTGAACCCAACAAAATTCTCTGCTGCTGCTCCTCCCACACAATTAGCAAGCTCCGTTTATCCTAATGACAGGGGTTTTTGATACCACTTTAAAAACTGTTGCTGTCTTCTAATAACTAGGCTCCTTATTTCAGAATGAGCCCCCTAAAATTAATTTGTGAGCAGCAGGCACTGAGAAAAAATTAACACAATTACTGGAGGTATGGAGAGAATACTGCCTTTAGTGCAAGCATGAATTCTTGGAAGTAACACCTAGGGATAATAACAGCAACATAGCTGACAACTGTACCTGGCCTAGTCAAAGGAAATAGTTAACATAAATAAAGCAAGGGGGAGAACTGTCATATTTCTTTATTCAACCCCCTCCCCAACCCCCCCCCATGTTTCTGGACATTAAACTGAGAGAATGAAAGAGAGATGTGCTCTTTGGCTGCTGTTTGCTGTAATTAAGCTTTGAAATCTAGCGTTCTAATAAAAAATGCATATGGTAAGAGTCGGCTAGAAAATTCCCTGGACATTTTGCTTTCCCTTTCCTTATTCTGTGAAGATTCTCAGGATGCAGACAGGGAACTTTGGTGGCAAACAATAAAGCCTAATCAAGAAGACAGAACACATTAGAGATCTGCAGTGCCTTACATGTTCAAGTTAATTAAATATGATTCACGGCTAGTGCTTCTACTAGATGCTATGCAGAAGCTTATACAGGGGAAAGAAGGGGAACCATGGATGTATTATCTTTATTAATCATAGTATGCAGAAATATCATGAAGCAGAGCATGTGTCCAAAGCCCTGGACTGAAAAAACTGATTGGTTCATGCACATACATCACTGGAGCTCTCATCACCAGGGGTGCCAACTTGACTAAAATATTGGGGAAGACCAGGTAAGCTCTGCCCTGCATAACTGATCACAAGATGCACACCATTTGAATGGCAATGCCGATCAACTTGGGTGGGGCTGCCCTCTCAAAAATTTTATTGGGGGGGACCAAAGGGAGTCGGCTCCCATGCTCATCACCGTAAGATTCAATAATGATAGCTATCAGATGACTGTGTGGGACTTTCCATTAACATAACTGTATTCCCATCTTCATGCATGGAAGATGCTACATGATGCTATGGTCCATGAGCCTTGGCATAGGTGTGAACCTGTCCATAATCATAGAATTGCAGAGTTGGAAGGACCCCGAGGGTCGTCTTAGTCCACTTCTCTGCAATGCAGGATTCTTTTGCCCAATGTGGGGGGATCAACCCACGATGTCACATAGAGGAGGGAGAAAGGTTGTTTTCTGCTGCTCCAGAGAAGCGGACACGGAGCAATGGATCCAAACTACAAGAAAGAAGATTCCACCTAAACATTAGGAAGAACTTCCTGACAGTAAGAGCTGTTCGACAGTGGAATTTGCTGCCAAGGAGTGTGGTGGAGTCTCCTCCTTTGGAGGTCTTTAAGCAGAGGCTTGACAACCATATGTCAGGAGTGCTCTGATGGTGTTTCCTGCTTGGCAGGGGGTTGGACTCGATGGCCCTTGTGGTCTCTTCCAACTCTATGATTCTATGACCCTGGTCTCATGCTCTACCAACAGAGCTATTCCAGAAGAGTTGCTGAAATGAAGGAACCGCTTTGAGGGGGTTCTTCTACACATTCAAGCAGTGCATAAATGTTAGGAAATACATTAAAAGTGAAACAAATAGAGAACCTACCCAAGGGACGTTGACAAAACCGCACATACACGCTAAGTATTACCAGCCCAAACCCCTCCCTTCTCTCTCCCCCATCTTCTTCAACCCCAACCTTATTCTGTAGGCAACACTAACGTCTCACATCAAATGTAAAAAAGACTCTACAGCCTGAAAAAAGAGACAATACATGTTCTTTTGTAAACCAAGAATTAAAAAAAGATTATTATTATTTCAAAAGTGAGCTCAGTCCACATGGCTAGTTAATGCATTTGCTTGTCCACATGAACCCGCTCCACCCCCTTGTTAAGCAACGAGAAGGCTGATGACATGTGATAATGTAATGTCCAAAAACCAAACAAACCATGGGATAGAAAACTCCGTCCTATCCTCCTATGTAAATTGACCTCATGAAAATCTCACTGCCTCAGATTTTATGCATTTAGTGGTGACGTACCTCTGAAAATGTTCCTTGGCTGTCTTCACTTCCTTCAAGACTGTGCTACTGAAATAATGTAAAATGGAGGCTCAAGGGTGGGGTGGGAGGCATAAGAAACCACAAATCTATGCTTACCTGAGCAGGTGGCGGCGGCTGTACATAACCCTGCGGTGGAGGTGCAGCTTGCAGTACTTGCTGGGATACTGGTGGACCTGAACCTGCAAAACCTCCGGGAGGGAGCTGTTGGCTGGATGCCATGACGTAACCAGTCTGTGGGGAAGACTGCTGTATAATAGGTGATGGGTAGACAGGACCAGAAGGCGAATCAGGGTTGTCTCCTGATGACTGACGACTTAAACTCATCTGGCTAAACTGTGTTGTCATGTCATCTCGCTGTGAGGCAAAAGTCAGTTGAAAATGATCAACAGAGATCTCTGCAGCGGATATTTAGAAAACAAAAAAAAATGGGTTCAAACAAGCATGCACAAGAAGCAGGGAAAAAATACATTTAAGCACATACGCACACAAACACAAAATTAAGCGAAAACAAACAAACGTAATCCTAAAAGCAAGTAAAAACATCTCCATCACCCCCCATTAAACCACTCCCCTTCCCGAATCTAAATGGGGAATTCTACATTTGTCTTGATGACACCTTGAAAAGATTCTCCTCTCCTGGTATTGATCTGACCCCATAACTTTTGATGGCAAAAGTTAATAAGAACAGTTTCTCAGCCACCCCCAAAGGAAGATGAATGGTTTATAAACATACTTTTTAAAAAAGACTCCAGCAGATCCCAATTGTTTCTACTCAGAAGTAAGCCCCAGAGTTCAATGAGACTTACGCCCAGGCAAGTGTGTATAGGACTGCAGTCTAAGGGTGTTAAGGGGCCTGGATGTTCCACTGCTAATACACAAACACTTGGGCCACTAATGCCACCAACTCCTTTAAGGAACCCAGCTGATCAGCCTCATCCATAGAAGTTCCCTGAAATGGTCATCTGGCAATGGAAACATATGTGCTTCCTCATCAATTCAGTGTCAATGATAATGCCTCAGGAAAAACTATTTCATAAGCAGAGCAATGAAAGTTGAGGCCTGTACTCAACAGTAGCTCCATACTGTAGCTGACTGCAGGGGAAACCAATTAATGAATGCAGGTTTATAAAAAATATGACAATCTACCAAACGTTCATCTTATCAAGTGTCTTTCCAAACAATTCTCAAGAAGGCTACAAATGCAGTTAATGGTATCTCACATTGCTGAGAAAATCTTTTATTGGGCATTGTCAGTAAAAATAAATAACTTTAAAAAGAAAAAAAAAGCACTGGTTTTCTCTTTGATTTTAAACCCTAAAGGGTTATTTATTGTTGCTTTTGTCTCATTAAATGACTGGAGAAAATGTGTTATTTTAGAATGGCCTAGAAAATGAAGGGAAAGAAACAGCTGAGATGAAGGTCTAAACACACATGCCAGCCTACCTAACCTATTAAAATGTCAACTGTAATCAACAGTAACTTAATTGCAATCCTTAAACTGCATGTCAAAGTTAGCTTCACACGGGCAGTTTGACTTTTACATTTGGGATGCCCTATGTCACAAGCCTCTAACCAGCGCAGAGCCCTAACTGCCTCAGTGTTTCCAGAGCTCATTCCCTTAGTTCATCTTTGCGTCCTCTCAAGTTTTTACCTTGGGCAATCGCTTGGCTAGCATACCTAGACTGAGAATAAGAAAATGCCGAAATCTATTTGGCTGTCTAGGCAAATCAGACAAGAGTTGGGGAAGTTACTGAACTTGACAAGAGCAAAAGTACATACGCCTGTACTGGGGAACGATAAAGAAGTAACCTCTTCCAGCAGCAAATGGTCAAGGTCACCTTGTAACCAGCTCTTCCCACTATATGCACGGTCTCCTCAAGTGTGCTTAGTTATTTTGCGTTCTACTAATAAATCAAGTTTGTTCTTGCTTTGCCATGATACAGTAAGCCTCACCATATTTCTCTGCTATTAATCAGTGATGTATTTGCAGCAGCTGCTTTTTGTGGAGTATGTCACAGAACATACCACAAAGAGAGCTGGTGCTCTTTGTCCCTCGTCCAAAATCCTGTCTCTGAGATGGGTATCTTTTTGAAATTATTTGTAGGAAACCTGATGCGTCTTCAAAGAGATACACTAACTCCCTTCCGCCTTGTTTTGGTATGGTTTTGCCCACACAATATTTTCTATGTTGTACTCTTGCATGTACAACAACATGCATTCACACACAGCTGCTCTTTGTCGGGAAGCACTTTGTCGTTTATGGTGCTACCTCTGCCTGCGACCATTGAG